ATACTGGCGCTGCCAGACCCTGATCGTTCTTTCAGCGTCGTCTGTGACGCTTCGGACTACGCCATCGGCTGTGCACTGCTGCATGCAGACGCCGAGGGGCGAGATCGGGTGATCGCTTTTTTTTTCGAATCACGACAGCTTGAAGCTACAGAGAAGAACTACCCAGTTCATGACAGGGAGCTACTTGCGTTGAGGTATGCACTTGTCAAGTTCAGATCCACCTGCTCGGCTCCAAGCCGTTTGTGATCTACACAGATCATGCGTCACTTCGCACTGCGACTCAGTCGCCCCACCTCTCGCAGAGGATGGGTAGATGGCGACCCTTCTTTCCGAAGTATAACTTCGAGGTGAAATATAAGCCGGGACAGCAGAATGCTTTGTCACGCAGACCAGACTACGAGCTTGCTCATATTACAACTGTAACGTTGTCTGTGACGGATTTGATCCACACCGGGTATGCGGATGATGGGATGTGTGTAGCGTTGCTACGGGCTCTAGGGAGCAAGGAGTTCGGAAATCGGACAAGAATTTGTCGTCAAGACTGCGTGCACGATTGCACCGATATTCGTTGAATAACACCGTGCTATATTATGGCACCGATTCATCGGATACACCATGAATTGTATTTCCTCATGATGAGGACTTGATATATCGCGCTCTCTATGAGGCTAACGACACGCCACTCAGTCATCTCGGTCGTGAGAAAACGTATATCTCTGTGACTCACCACTACTGGTGACCCAAGTTGTACAATTGGACGAGCACCAATGTGCGCACGTGTGAGACGTGTCAGCCGGTAAAACCCGCTCAAAATGCGGCTGCGCCGTAGGCCAGCTTACCGGTACCCACTGGGTGCTGGTAGTCCATTAGTTTGGACTTTGTGTTTGGCATGACTAAAGATTCGGCGGACAACACGAGTGTCGTGGTATTCGTCGACCGGTTGAGCAAGATGGCTCATTGGGTGGCGATGCCAGACACCATCGACGGAGTCGGTACAGCAACGCTGTTTGTAGATCGTGTGTTTTGACAACACGGACTCCTACAGTCGATTGTCTCTAGGCGCCAAGTTGGATATGTCGACAGCGGATCATCCGCAGACCGATGGTCTATCCGAAAGGGTAAATCGCGTCATTGAAGACGTTCTTCGCAGCGTCTGCGATGAGACGCCGAGATGCTGGAGCGCCATGTTGCCACTCGTAGAGATTGCACTGAACAATGCAGTGCACTCGTCTACTGGCTACACCGTTCTACGCGAACGGACTGATTCACCCTCGCGTCCCGCTGACGCCGCCATCGCATGGCTTAAGGCTTGGTGGAGGAGGAATAGCCGAACGGCTAGCTGATGTCAGCCCCCTCACCACCA